AAAATTGGCTTGATCGATTTAAAAATGGGTTGACATTGACACCATTACAGCTTTTATGCATCGTCCAAGCTATTTTAAAATAGGGTATCAAAGTGACCCCACATCAATGGGTGATTTTGATATACCATTACTTATTTTTTTTGAGAAAATCCTCAATTTAAAGATATATATATATATATATATATATATATATATATATATATATATATATATATATATATATATATACTAACAGTATAAATTACATAAACATAAGATGAATCCCAATGGACATTTTTCCACATTTTTGGGATCACCCATTCAAAAGTTACGTAAGAAAATATAAAAAAAATTAACAAAGTCACCCCGTTCTACGGTAATGAAAAAAAAAAAAACATTTATATTTCTGCCGTCCGTTAGCTAAAATATCGCTAAGCCACAGCGCCCGATTTTGAGATATGAGCAAAAAAAGGGGGGAAATTTTCAAGACATTGCTGCTTTAAAACTAATTATCCTAGAAGTATGTATGTTACTTCAAAAGAAACGTGTTTTAATTCTCTTCCAATTAAATTGAGTTTCAAACAAAATTTACTTATTTTATGGTATAAAAAACAATAGAAGTGGTTTTAGCTGTGTGTCATTTATTATTTATTACATAGGAAAACATTTACTAAAACATCACTAACCGTACTTTAATGACGTTGTAGTTTAGTATTTTGGAGTAAATGTTTGATACAATTTTTACATAACTAAATTATTAATAATTCCGAAACTATAAAATCACTAAGGTATTTAAAGACGTTATAGTTAAGGTTTTGATTTAATTTTTAAAACACAACCTTGTCTAAAACATCACTAAAGGTGTTTAATTGTTTATTGGCTAAAATAGTTTACTCCAGTAGCCATTTTTTATATTATATGCTTAACTAGAACATCACATATTTGATAACCTTTCCTTAATAGCGATATTTTAGCTAAGTAATAATGCCTTAGATTTGAAGCAAAACAGTAAAATGTCGTTAACTAACAAAATAAAACGGCAAACTTTGGACAAAAGAAACATTTATTATTATTAAAGAAAAGAAAAAGGTATAAAAACCAAAGTAGCACTCATAGGCCAAATAAAAAATCGAACAAAAAAACAAAACTTATCTAATGAATATCAATTTTTTAGACGAGAAGAATGTAATTATTATGTACTAGTTTCATTCCCCTCCTCGTCATTAGTTTTTGTTGGTAATGTTTTCCAAAATGTCAATTTATGTGGCGGTACTATAGGCGTTAATTTGTCAATTAACGTAGTTTTTCGGTTAAGTTCAACGCCTTTTGGAGAAGTGCGAAATGTGAGAGTCATACAACTTGGATTTTTTAAATATCTGTCAGTCATAAATTGCAGATATATAAAATCTTCATTAAAATTATTTTTATATAGTAACCCAAAAGAATTTCGTTTAAAACAAACATGTTTCATATTTTTTAAGTAACCTCTTGGGTTACTTTTTTGTATCCGCCTCTCACTTATCAAATTTGGAACATTAACAAAGTTTTGTGGTGACATAGATTTGACTATCACTTTGGAGTTATTTATCGAAGCAACTGCGTCTTCGAAATCGGTAAAGTCATACAGCTTACCCTTCTTCTTCATTGCAAGTTCTACCTGATGGTGAACTTGATCTGCGCTCATAAACGTATGACCAGGTTCAAAATAAAATAAGGAAATTTCTTCTGTAGATATTAAGTCACTGTTTACCATATGAACTAATAAAGAATAAAGTAGCCAATTCTTATTTTGCGCTGTGCAATTATCTAACCATATGTTAATGTTCTGGATATCGCGATTTTGCATTAAACATATATAGAAGGCACTCATTATATCTTCTTGTTTCCGTCCAGCTATGCCATCATGCCACAAAACGGTTAACGGTTTTTGATTAGATGTTATTGTTCCCAGGGGAGCAAAAGTTTGATTGTAAGCAATTAAACGTGGGCAAAAGATTATACTTTTAAAGGTTTCTAATCTTGGTAGCATTATGATCTTTTCTAAATCTGAAGATATATAAATTACATTGTCACTTTGGGCCAGATTTTTATGCTTAGTATACAATTCCCTGGCTTGTGTATACTTAAGGCGATGTTTTTGAAATTCGACACAAGGATTGCAATCTACTACAGTATTACAATCATGTGATGTTTGCTGTTTATGTAAATTAAAAGACTCACACATTTCGCACTCCTCATTACCAAGTCGAGTAAATGAAATATTCAAAGTTTTGAGTTGTTTGCGATAAACCTCATAGGACATATTTTCTTCTGGATATTTTGAACAGAAATCTTTGTACATAAAAGTTATATTAATATCGCTCGGTAAATATCGTCTCAATGGCGCGTGCTCCCGTCTGTAGTGCGGCTCTGCAGGATTGAATGATTGTATGTGGTTATTAATTAACTGGCGATCTATACGAGGCGTTTTCTGGTGTTTTCCACGCATGTCTGAATGAATGGGATTTGTAGCATCAAGTGACCTCAATATCGCGTCGTTATTTTTTTTGTAACCCAAGGTAGTCAAAAAAAATATTTTGCACACCTCAATAACAGACCCATCTCTTTTCTTCTTAAACGCAAAACATCTTTTCGGCTTTCTTTTAGGTTCACTTGTGTATTTTCTTTTCGGAACTGCTGTAGCCACTTGAGACATAACAAAAACTCTTCGCTGTTCAAAAGACAAATTCCAAAAATCAGAATTCAACTGTGCTCTATCTTGCTCAGTAAAAAACGTGTTACATTTTTTTAAACATTTTTCAGTACAAGCTGGTTTTACGGCATATTCTAATTGCTTTTTAGCTCTCTTCTCTTTAATCCGTTCACCTAGGCCAGTGTCATACTTCTTTCGTTTCTGTGGTTGGACATCAAGTTCACTTCTCCCCGTACCAGTGCTTTTCGTATCCATACTGTTAGTATTTTTGTTTATATTAGTCCAATCTACAGTGTGTCTTCTTGGCTCTTTTTTTTTCCCATTTTTAATGCATCTTAGTTCTCGAAAATCTGTCGTAACACGTCTTTTTTTATGTTTATTTATCGACAGTGAATTACGGAATGTATGAGATGGTGAAGATTTGGTGAGTGTAGCTGTAGAAGTAGAAGGCTCAGTTAAATTTGTAGGAAAAATTCGTAATTGACTTTTTTTTGGCAATTTTCGGTGCGAAGGAACGTTTTCTGGCAAATTTAAATCGTCTGAATCTTCGCTTGAATCCGGAATATAATCTTCGTCAAGAACTGAGTCGTCTGAATTAAAATCTAATATATTAGGGCATAATAATGGTTTTGTATTATCAGGGTGAAAAGAATTATGTTGGATATAATCAGGTACATTATCAGAAGGAAAATCATCTGCTGGCATTTCTTCATAACAAAACATATCAGTGTTTTCTAATGATATGCTGGAAAGGCTTTGTTTAGCATAGTAATATCATTTATCAAATTTCGGGAATGGTAAGATGTTAAACTATTTTGTGTCTCACAAAATTTGTTGAAAACTGCCGAAGTCATGGAATATGGTCGAGCATACAAATTGTTTACAAATTCTGTTTCCGGTTCTGCCAGTTTGCATCTTAAAGTAATCCGAACTTGGTATTTTTGACGTTACCATATCTAATATGAGTTGAGATCGCCGGGAAATTTTTGAACTGCAAAAAAACGAAAAATTCCATTTACTAGAAATAATATTATTGGAATAGGATTAGAAAACAAGTAAATATTTCTTAAACAACACAAACTGTCATACACACAAACACACTATCATGGAAACATACAAAATATACAATCTTTCATCTTGTACATGTATGTGCAAGTCGTAATTAAGATTCCATTAACTTTTAAAGCGCATTTTTAAAAATTTTAGTAATAATAACAAGAGGAACTTACCAAGGCATTTTCTTAGCCATATTGATGATTTGGCGTGAAATATCCTGTTCACCAAAAGCTCGTGACGTGACTTCTCCGACAAACGATAGAATATTAAATACTACTGACGAGTGACGATATGGATACAGTTTATTATACCATGATATGGATATGACAGCGCCGCAGTGTAGCAGGTGAGAGGGAGGTCGCCTAGTGATGTTTTAGCATAGTATTGTTACTTAAAGGTGTTTTAGTTATGGAACTTCTACGAGATCATTTGTCGCAAAACACGCCGAGGGCGGTTAGTGATGTTTAAGTTTTACATCGTACAGCAATATTTTAAAATGATCCTTAGCTTTGTTATCGTTAAGAAATTTTATCGATATTTTAGTGTAGTATTTGTGTATAACGGGTTTTTAGTTAAGTATTGTTTCGCGATGTAGTGAAATAAACCTTGACTAAAAAAAAGTTAAAGTATGTTAACGGTCTTATAGCTGTATAACTTTGGGCAACGTGGTTTTAGCTAGGTAGCTTAAATAAAAATTTAAACAAAATACTATCATTGAAGGCGGTTCCTGATGTTTTAGTTGAGTAATGTGGATTAACGTAGTTTAAGCTGTGTGAAGTTAAAATTTTGTTGTAGATAACGATGTTTTTGCTTATGCTATCTTTGAAACTACAAACCTTAGAAATACGAATCCAGGACAGATCGATAGAGAATTTTTTTTTATATAGTGTGGCATCTATAACTCAAAATTGGCCTATGGTGGCTTAGCGATGTTTTAGCTAACGGACGGCAGATTTACGCTATACAAATTTTGTAATAATTTGCGCGTCTCAAATTTTATCATAGAAATAAATCTTTATCTGTTTAGTATCTAAAAAATAATGTGCAAATATTGTACTTGAGAAAAATATATAATTTCCTAATTATTTATCTCATTTACAACATATCCCAACCATAAATATACGCGTCTATACCGCACAGGTATTGAGAGCCAGCACAGATTAGAGAAACTGCAGGTAGCCAAGGTGTATTTGACGCTCGGAAACTGAGAACGAACTCGCCATTCCACAGTCTACTGCTAGCGGAGTGCATGAGCGGTCGTTGCGTGACTGTCACTCGAGTTACGTCCTCACGAACGATCCATCTGTGTGTAGGTTAAGTTTAAAAACACTTTCACTCACACTTATTGTTTTTACATGTGCTTTACCCGATAAGAACATTTTGTTCTGATAATACTGTTTCTGTGAGAAAAATGTAAGAAGTCCTTATTTTATTTCGCGATTTTGATTCATCTTAGCGGTGTCAACAATTGTGTCATTAACTTAAATAAAGTGTTTGAACAAAAGTTTAAATAAAGGTAGGCGTTATGGCCAGGTGTGGTAGTGGACATATGTAATTTTGACGGAGATTAACAAAATATTAACGAAAATGGAAGAAGACGACGTTAGTGTTCGGGTGGCATTAAGGTAAGAATTTTTTAATTCATAATAATTAACTTCATTGTTTTGTTATGATAAAATAAATAGAAAAGCAGATTGCTGTTACCGATTGTTTCACTTATTATTCATTTTGTAATAAACTTATTCTTATTTGCAATTATTACAATTATTAACAATTTTATTACAAAATATTTTAAATTTTGCAGATTATCACTTTAACTGACTATTGTTCATTTCATCAATGTCATTTATTCAAAATGTCATTTAAATGATTTGTTTGCATTTAATGCTAGACTTATCAATGGTATACTTATGATATATCAAAGACCAAGTTATTTGGACCAAAATAAGGCTATTAGACCAATATTACGTTAATAAAATGTTGCTGTGCAACTATATTTTGTGTTAAAGTTTATTTTTTTTGCTACTAATTTCATTATATCTGTAAGTAAAAATTTCGGCAGAGATTTGAGATCAAAAATATTATTTATTTATTATTATACATTTTGGTACAGCGTATGCCACATTTAATGATTCCTGATGATGAAATTGAATCTTCTTCTAATGTTAATTTCAACTCTTTTTAAAAAAGAACGAAATTGAATATTTTATGAGTCTCAGAAGGAGATTTCAAATGTTATTTCATTTATGAAAAGTTGTGTTTATTAATGTTTAGGTTATTTCGCACCAAAAATCGAGTTGGTCTATAGAAAAAAATCGCATTTAGTAATAGGAAAGATATACATACATACGTTTTGTTGAAAGACCATAGAAATATAAACAGAGAAAATGACATTATATATAAAATATAATGAAAATGGAAATAACATTGTTTAACTTAGATAATTTAAACAAGTAAAGCACACATCTACCCTATTCCTAGAGACTAAAACAAAAATTAACGAACCCCAGAAATCTACGACGATTGACTATGAGCGTATAAAAAAGGCAGCAAAAGAAGCTTTAGGAAAATAATATCCAAAAACAAACAAACCTTATAAACTTGGAAACCCCACAAGTCGATTCATTTACAACGTTATTCTTCTTCTTCTTACGGTGCCTTATCCTTAAGGACGTTGGCCATTACATTTGCCCATTTAATCTTATTTGTAGCAGCCCTGAATAGTTCTATGGAGGTCATGTTCGTCCATTCCCGTAGGTTTTTAAGCCAAGAGTTGCGTCTTCTTCCTGGTCCTCTTTTGCTATTGACTTTGCCTTCGATTATAAGTTGGAGCAGTTCATAATTTTGATTTCTTATGATGTGACCAAAATATTGTGTTTTCCTTTCTTTTATTATAAGCATAAGCTCTCTTTCCTTATTCATCCTCCGCAAGACTTCCGCATTTGTCGTATGGCTCATGTAGGATATTCTGAGCATTTTACAGTAACACCAGAGTTCGAATGCTTGGATTCTTTTTTGTGTTGCTTCTGTCATTGTCCAGGCTTCAACACCATAGAGCAAGGTGGAGGAAAACATAGCACTTTAGTATTCTAGTTCTCAATTAGATGCCCAGCTGGCGGTTGCATAGAACTTTTTGCATTTTGTAAAACATTGTACGTGCCTTTTCCAGGCGTATTCTTATCTCTAGTGAGTGGTCCCAAGTTTGATCAAGATTACTTCCAAGGTACGTTGTTCTTGTTACTCTTTCCAGATCTCTTCCGTCGACATTGACCTTCACCCTTCTGTTTTGGTGCTTGCTAATGACCATCGTTTTTGTCTTCTTTGTATTCAATTTCATTCCAAATTCTCTACAGGCTGTCGTTACTCGGTCCATTAAGCGTTGCAGGGCTTCAGCATTATCTGACAGTGTCATCAGCATATCGCAGGTTATTTATACATTGACCGTTTATAATTATACCATCCGTGGTGCCTTCCAAAGCTTTCTGAAATATCTTCTCAGAGTAAACATTAAACAGCAAAGGTGATAGGACACATCCCTATCTTACTCCCTTCTCGATATTGATTTTTCCAGATGTTTCGCTTTTTATTCTGATTTTAGCCTTTTGTTCTTGGTAGAGGTTCGAAATTATCCTTAAGTCTTTATCGTCGATATTACATGACCTTAAAATATTTATTAGTTTATCATGTTTCACCAGGTCAAACGCCTTCTGAAAGTCTATAAAACACAAGTATACATCAAAATCGACATCTCTACATCTTTCAACTAGCACACGTATTGAAAAAAGTGCTTCTCTTGTTCCGAACCCATTCTTAAAACCAAACTGAGTTTGACCAGTGTGTTCGTCTAGTTTATGGTATACTCTATTGTGTATTACTCGTAGGAAAAGCTTCAACATATGATTCATCAGGCTAATAATCCTATGGTCTTCTCTTCTTTGGTAGTGGTATAAACACCGATGTCAGCCAATCATTGGGTATTTTACCTGTTTCGTATATTTTGTTAAATATATCTTCCATTACTTCGATGTGTTCGTCTAGTAATATCTTTATTATTTCAATTGGGATATTATCTTCCCCATTAGCTTTTCCGTTCTTTAACTGATTTGCCGCTTTGATAATTTCTTGCTTTGTGATATAAGGTCCAGTCGATGCCTCCTGCATGTAAATGTTCGTCCTCTCTCGGTCTTGAAACATCTCTTCCACGTATTCTCTCCATCTACCTATTTGATCTTTTATGTTCAGTAGCGGGTTCCCATGTTTATCTTCGATGAAAGACGTAGGAGTTTGTTTAAATATTCCAGCGGCTTCTTTTACTTGTTTATGTAGATTGAAAGTATCATGTCTTTGTTCCAACTCTTCAATTTCTTGGCATCTTTCACTTAGCCAGGTTTTTTTGGCTTGTTGGATCTTTATTCTGATATTCTTGTGTATTTGCTTGTATGTTGTTTCATTTTTACCTCTGTATTTTCTTCTTTCATCTATCATGTTTAGAATTTCTTCTGTCATCCATGGTTTGTTCTTTTTTCGTGTATCTTGTTTGAGGTAGTCTTCTGTTACTCTTGTAAGTGTTTTCTCAATATAGTGCCATTCTTCCTCGGGAGTTTGTGTCGATTGTACTGTTCTGTTACTCAAGTGTCTATGTATTTGTTCTCGTATTTTATTACTAGTGGATTCTTCTTTAAGCTTATCTAGGTTAATAGCTATTATTTGCTTATTTCTTGTTGTTCTTTTAAATTCTATCCTAATTGTTGCAAGAAGAAGATTGTGGTCGGTGGGGATGTCAGCTCCGGGGTATGTCTTGCATGCTTTTACTGCGTTTTTGTATGTTTTGTTGACCATTATGTAGTCGATCTGATTTCTTGTGATGCGTCCTTCTATTCCATCTGCTGGAGATTTTTACGTGTAGAGACGTCTGGGGGGTAACTTGAAAAAGCTGTTCATTATACTGTACTGATTTTCTTTACAGAACTGAAGCAGTCCCGAAAGTTCCGAAAGTTTTTTGCGTACTCTAACTTTTGCTGTTTGGTTAAAGTAGAGATGAGTTATTATTCTTATGTCTTTTTTGTCAATGTGTTTCTCTTAAAGTAACTGTATAAGACGGTTGTGTCGGACCTTATCGAACGCTTTATTGTAATCAATAAAACAAACATAGAGTGGTTGGTTCACATCCATACATCTTTGCATGAGGACGTTAAATCCAAATAATGCCTCTCGGGTACGCATGGCATTCCTAAATCCAAATTGGGTTTCAGTGATGTCTTGTTCCACTTTTCTAAAAATTCTTAAATGGATAATTTTTAAGAATATTTTTAGAGTGTGACTAATTAGACTAATTATCCGGTGGTTATTACATTCTCTTGCATTAGTTTTTTTGTTAATGTAATAAATGTTGATTTGAGCCAATCTCTCGGAATAATACCCGTATTATATATAGTATTATATAAGTCTACTAATACATTAATCTGATCTTCTGATATTAATTTAATTATTTCAGTGAAAAGACAGCAAATATTTGATTTCACGCAAAAAGCGCCTTTGTATCTGTTGATACGTATTTCGACCTAATAGGTCTCATCAGAACAGTTATTCAAAGGTGTTCTCACGTGAGAGATCAATATTTTCTGTCTTTTAAGAAGCAACGCTAAAATGGGTTCAATACGGACGCAATAGCGACATCTGACAATAAAACCGTAAAATAGTTTCGAAGAATCCAGAACCCGTTGTAACACGATGGGAAACATCGCTGGAAGCCACTTTTTTCTTTTCCGACTATTTCCTAGATTTAAAAAATATAATAATGACGCTTTAATGAATGACCCAATCTCTGCTAGATGTAAACAAATTTTAAAAAACAACGTTCTTCAGCAACAGCTTTCATTCGTTAAATCAAATTTTAGTTTGCTTCAAAAAACTATTACTCAATTAGAATCATCAAAGTTGTCCTTGGTAGAAAGCCTTAATAAATGAATTAGATCAGCTTGTCAAAATGTTGAAGGTGACACTGGAAAAGATATTTTTAAAAAAATTGAAACAAACAATTGAAAAAAAAAACAATGGTTTTCAAAAATTTACTGAGGTAGCTAAAGTTCTTGTTGGTAATTTATGCTAAGAAATATATTTAGAACCAAATGTTTTTGTAAATTTAAAATATGCTCTTATTACATCCGCTGATATGATGTGATAAAATATCAAGGATCTTTGGGGATTTATACCCAAACTTCTTATATACCCTAATATACCCAAAAAGAAAAATGAGAAGTCATCAATCATTTATTATATATTAATTAAAAGTTGCGAAAAATCAAAACACTAGACAAAAAAAAAATGATCTTTTATACGAAACACAATGTGATTCGTCGAGATATGATATATATACTTAATATTTACAAATGAATTATTTTTATTAAGCAATAAAAACTGAATTGTTTATCAATAAAATTATTATTACGAATATGATATAGAAAAACTAACGCAAATATGACAAGGTCATTCGTAATCTAAAAATGTGTTGCTGATAATATAAACTCATTATAGGTAAAGTATAATGAAGCGTTTTAAACTATCGTAGGTAGGTAGGTATTATTGTGGTTTGTTAGTAATTCGCTAGCACACCAGGAACTAACTA